AGATTCATGAATAACTAATCATGTTTATTTTCTTTAAGTCTCAACTCTTACAAGGAAATTATTTCTTAAAACAAAGAAAGGAACTCAAGGAAATATGATTCGTTAGTTCTAAAAATATGTTTAGTAAAAGGGTGATTCCTTATCCTGAATAGTAGATTCGAGAATAACTAATCATGTTTTGTTTTCTTTATTAAGTCATAGTCCTTAAATGAAAATTGTTTCCACCTAAACAAAGAAGAAGAATAAAAGTAAATAAGATTTACTAATTCTAGAAACATCTTTAGTAGAGGGTGATTCCTCATCCTGGATAGTTGATTCGAGAGCAACTAATCATGTTTGGGTTTCTTTGCAAAATCTTGGTTCTTACAAAGAACTTGCTATCAGGGACTACACGATGAAAGTGGAGAAACCGTGAGGGTACCGGCAAAAGCAGTGGGAGAAGTTAGACTTTAGTTTTGGAAATACCTTATTGTGAACAATGTTTATTTCCCTCCAGGTATAAAGAGAAATTTGATTTATAATTCCAAATTATTTGAACAATTGCCTTTAATAATAATCTAGTTCACATCTTTCGGAATGGTTCCGATATTTGTTCTAGATATTTGGAAAACGATTTATACCGTTTAAACCGATGCCTAGCTTACTGCGTAATGTTGAAATGTTCAAAAGTTGTCGAACCTAAGAATAAGAAGCAAAGGATCTCTCACGATAAATAACACATATCTGTGTCATCTTAAACTTGGTCATATTAGCCTAAACTGGATTGAAAGACTAGTAAAGGATGGTCCTTTATGCAAACTAAAAGTTGGTAAGCTTCCAGTCTGTGAATCTTGTTTGGGAGGTAAAATGACCAAGAGGCCTTCCAAGTCGAAAGGAGAAAGAGCTATAGAACCCCTTCAGCTAATACATTCAGATGTATGTAGACCGTTAAACATCCAAGATAGAGGAGGTTACAAATATTTCGTCACCTTTATTGATGACTATTCGAGATATGGTTATGTTTACCTAATGCAACGGAAATCTGAAACTTTTGAAAGTTTAGAGACTTCTGAGCAGAAGTTGAAAAACAATTAGGTAAATCAATTAAGACACTTCAATCAGATCGAGCAGGTGAATACCTAGACTAAGAGTTCCAGGATTTCTTGATTGAAAAAGGTGTGGTATCCCAATTGACTACACTCGGTACACCACATCAGAATGGTGTAGTCGAAAGGAGATATTAGACTTTGCTAGACATGATAAGATCAATGTTGAGTTATTCTTCGCTTCCTACTTCGTTTTGGGGTTATGCCCTAAGAATCACCGTGTATATTCTGAATCTAGTACCAACTAAGTCTGTACCAAAGACACCCCTAGAGTTGTGGAATGGTCAAAAGCCAGTTTTGAAGCATATTCGCATATGGGAGTGCCCGGCTCATGTGATGAAACAATCGACTAGGATGTTGAAACTAAGTATTTGTGGGATATGTAATAGGGACAAGAGGAGGATTATTTTATATAGTCACAAGAATCAAAGGGTACTTGTATCGACAAATGTCACGTTCTGGAGTAAGAATATATGATAAGTTTTTCAAGCCCAGAAACAAAGTAGTTCTGAAAAAGTTACTTTCCAATGAGATTGGACCACAATCGATAATAGTTGTTGGAACGCTAAGAGATAAGACCACGATTCCTAATTAAACTCATGTGGCACCTCGTCGTAGTGGGAAGGTAAGTAAGTTACCTGACCGGTATACTGGGGAAGCACAAATCGTGACTGTTGATGATGATAAAAAGGATCCGTTGACCTTTAAGGCTACGATGGATGATTCTGATAAGGAAAAGTGGCAAGCAGCTATGAAACTCGAGATAAAGTCCATGTACTCCAACTCAGTCTAGTAACTTGTTGATTTACCTAAGGGGGTAAAACCTATTGGATGCAAATGGATTGTCAAGAGGAAGAGATGAGAGGATGGAAAAGTAGAGACTTATAAAGCAAGGCTAGTGGTAAAGGGTTATACCCAGAAATAGGGAGTTGACTTTGAGGAAACTCTCGCATCGAAAGCCATGCTTAAGTCCATCTGGATACTCTTGGCCATATGAGCATATTTTGAATATGAGATATGGCCGATGGATGTCAAGCCAACTTTTCTAAATGGCTATCTTGAAGAAACCATCTATATCGATCAGCTAGAGAGTTACACAGAGGAAGGCCAAGAGCCGAAAGTCCGCAAGCTGTCGAGATCCATTTATGGATTGAAACAAGCTTTTAGATTATGGAACATCAGGTTTGATAAGGCTATTAAGTCTTATGGATTTGATCAAAACCAAGATGTATCGAACAAAAGAAAAGAAGATGTTCTTATTCTTTGCAAACCCGAATATATGATATTCAGTGGGAGTGGTCAATCGTTGTCAGTTGAACTCAAGATTCAATCATTGGGTAGCGTTGTAGTGTATCCTTAAGTGTATGAGGAAAGCAAGAAAATATAAGATAGTTTAGTCAGTGAAAGAGTTATCTTTTAGCTGGATACACATACTTTGACTATGAGTCTTCCATGGATTTCGTGAGTCGATATCCAAATCTGTGTTCACACTAGGTGAAGGAGTCGTGATATGAAAGGTTGTTGGCAAAGTGTGATTGCTAATTCTATCATTAAGAGTTAATGTGTTGTAGCTTGTGAAGCAGCAAAAGAAAGCAACCTGACTCTAGAAATTCTTAACTGATATGGAAGTTATTTCACGCATAGACCAGTCATGGACACCTAGAAAGTTTCAGGATTGGAGACATATTCTACTTGCTTTAGGACAAGTGGGAGATTATTGGTAATGGTGTCCTAGAAGCATGAGATGTGATAGGATATTTATTATTTATTTAATAAAAGGGTTTATTCATCATTTTATGTGTATATATTTGTGAATATTTTATGAATATCAATGAAAATTCTATGATTATTTATGTGACCTTAAACATTGTATATAAGTGTTATATGCGAGAGGATAATGTTTAAGGATAATAATCAAAAAGCGATGTTTGTAATAAATTTAATTAAAGTTCAGAATCTTTAATTAGAACATTACTAATACATGTCATTCTCATTAATAATAGAATGGTGTTATCCGCACTGTTAATATGGCGAGATATTGAATGAATGTATTACGCATAATGAGAGTATGTAGAATAGGGACACATACACAATATGAATTTCTAATAATTTCCGTTAAATATAGAAATTCTAATTGAGTCTACCGATGGTTATATACATAATAATCTTAATCATGAGTTCTTAACAAACTCCTATTTATGGATTTGTGTCTTTTAATTTACTCGGTATGGATTCTGAGACCCTGAATCCTATTCCTTGTATTTTGGAGACATGATGAAGTAGGTAGCCGTGAATGTCATTATACGAGATGGAATCCATTCCTTCTTGAGAAAGAAGCATATAAATAATTCTCTTGAGTATTGATTCGGTACTTGGATTAGTAAGAGTGCTTTGGTTCATGAATGTGTTTATGAATCACTATCCATTAGAAAATCAATACTCAAGGATGAAGATATAATTAGAGAGGTTAACGGATTCTACCTAGCTCTAATTATGAATTATTTATGGAGGATTGATCTATATGCAGTGACTATATCAAATAGACACTTCACAGTTTAGAAGTAATTTATGTCTATAATTTTGAGAGTGCAATTCCAAGTTTATAGTGGAGTAACTATTGAAATTAATAGAATTAATAAATTAATTAAAGTGTTTAATTAATTATTAATTTTATTAGAGCTCGAGATTATAGGCTCATTAGTCCTTGCGTCATCTTAGTAATTCTACATGACATAAAGGGCAAAATGAGAATTTTAGAATTACGGAATTCTAAAATTAAACACTCGAAAATAATTAATTGAGAATTAATTATACATTAAATAATGTGATTATTTAAATTTGAATTTGAATTTTGGATCACTTATGTAAGGTGTTCACATAGTGTGAACGCAAAGCACGGTGTGAACACAGTGTGAACACAATTTAAATTTATCATTTTAAACTTATTTGATAAGTTGTTCAATTTATAATTCAAATTAATTTAAGTTTGACTTACATTGGAATTTGAATTTTGAGTCAAAATTGGACTACATGATAAAGGATAATTTTCTCTTTCTTCCCTATCTGTAGTTGGCGCCGCCCAGGGATAAGATCCCAAGAGAGTGGCCGGCCATAGTGGATAAAATAGAAGAGGAGATTTTGTTTCAAATTCAAATAAGAGATAATTAACAAGCTTTATCTTAGAGATAGAGATTGAATTATTTCTAAAAGTTTGACTTCTACTCTATAAGTAAGAGAATAATAGAAAATTTTTGACCTATTTTTTTAAAAAGTGGCCGAATTTCTCTATAGAGTAAAAGGAAAAATTTTTCTTCAAAAATTCTACATCGTGCATGCGTTGGTGTTTGTGGAAATTTGAGTGTTTGTTCTAATATGTTGTCTCAGGTGTGCCCACACACACACGTCTTCGTAGATTCTAAAATTGACGTGGAAGACATTAGTTTTCTAAACACAAGGCTTTGGAGTAAGGATTGTTCGAGGTCAAAAAACTCAAATTATCATCATAATCGGCTGTTAAGTATTATTAGTAATTGAGTTCTTAATAAATTAATTAATGTGATTAATTTATTTATACATAAATTAATATAATTTATAAAGTATCTCAAAATTTTATTAAAATTTTTGTTATATTTGATATGTTATCTTCACACTTCCGCGTTCGAATTCGATTTAGAAACTAATAAAAATCATCTGTGTGCGACAGAAGGCTGCTGACAACGCGAGACGCGGAGGCAAGCAAACCGGAAACCAGTCGGCCTGTTGGAATCATGGGTGCTTGCTAAACTATAAACATTCACATGTGCACATGCACCGACCCCACCTCCACCAGAGAAAAAAAAAACAAAAAAAAAACAAAAAACAAAACGACACAATAGAAACAACTTCTAATTAACAGCTTCTTAATCGCACCGCACTGTAAAATAAATAAATAAATAAATAAATAAAAGCTAAAGCTCTATTATGATATATACAAAGCTTAACCCTACTACTAGCTAGCTCAGTACTTCAACACTAGTGTATCTAGATGTATATCAATAGCGATTCGTCTAGGCTAGTCTCTAAATATGTGAATTTTTTATTTTTTTTGGTTTTTTTGATGAATCACGATGAAGCTATTATGCTGTTGTGAGTATTGATAGGTTTGGTGTTCTTGGTATTGTGGGCGAAGGAAGGAGTGAAAATGCGTTGGCCTGTGGCTAAGATATGGCGGGGGTCGAACTCCATCTTGCGCTTGTGAAACTGGGCCCACTTATCTCCGAAGTGGTCCACCCACTCCTGTTGTGTTGTGTAGTGGGGCAGGTACTGCTTTGCCTTGATCCCGGCAGCGGCGCAGAATCTGAGGATCTGACGGTTCTGATGCATCAGGTACTCCAATGACTGGGTCTCATCCGCGGTGTCCAAGGCCGATCTCAGCAATGCCACAAGGTAAAACACGTCCTCATCCGGTGTCACCGCCGAGCTCCTCTGGTCCCACCTGCACACAATCACCACCACCAAACACCATTTAGATTAAGCAAGCCGCAGTTTCGTTTTTTTTTTCCGCACGAAGATAAACAAATAAAAACAAATTAAGGTACGAAACATACAATTTTGAACGGTGAATCATATTTGAATCATGTCATACTAAAAAAACTAGGATGATTTATCAGAACTTTATGAAAATTTAATGGTTGAGAACTACTGAATCAATAGTAAACTTTTAGAGTAATTGTTTTTTTTTTTTTTTTAAAAAAATCGATTATAATAAAGAGTTGGGATCAGGAGGTCTTAATAAAACCAGTGGGACCAGATGGGTGTGCAGAGGTGGGTGATGGGTCGTTAACATATATATACTAACGGCTAGGTTTCTGGAACTCCTACTTTAGTCTTTGGAACAGGACATCTCGTCAGTGGTTTCCTCAGTCCCCACATAAGATCTTCTGACGCAGGGGATCTTCCTCTCTTGGATGATCACCACAGTTGATTTTGTTGGCTTTCAGCCAAACAACAACAGGGGATTAAAAGGCAAAAAAAATTAAATAATCCAATTACGCTAGCTAACTTAATTAATCATGTACATCAAGACTAGTTTATTTCCAATAAAAGAATTAATTAATGTCACACTCTAATCAATGTGGGGATGAATAAAAGAGTACAACCAGGGCAATTGTTTTTAGATGACGCATATGCAGCAGTTAGAAATGTCGTAATATTATGTCCATCACGAGGAAGAAAGCGCGCGCGCGCGCATATATATATATATATTATGATCGTATATATATTCGTATGCATGTGGTTAACTTATAACTTACTTGTCCTTGTTCATGGGGTAGATGAGAATGGGCCCACTTGTCTTATTACCCAAAATACTCTTGAACACACCCTCATCGAAGTCAGAAATCCTCGACTTGGGGACAAAAAGGTTGAACCATGGGTGGGGCACGTCCCACAAGCCCTTGGACCGGAGCTTTAACTCGGCCTTGTGGACCCGGTCCAAGAAATCCACGTATGGCAAATCCGTTGTGAAGACTGATGTCGGTATGAAATCCAATTTCTTTAGCAAGCCCTCTACTTCCTGCGTGAAAACGCCAACTTATATTATTTAATTGTTACATAATTCTCTGTCGTTGCAATTATATATACGTATAATTTAGTCATAAGAATAATATTAACAGATTATAATAATAATAATAATTAATATGCAATCAAAGTACACGGAAGAAAGCTGCTACCATACCAAACTGTTGGTTTTGTCAGGATAAGTTCGATTCTAAAAATATTTTCTATCCAAAGAAAGTAGAGAGAATAATTGGTGGGTGAGCGGCTTAGATTTAGTAATATTTAAATAATAAAATATTAAAAAAGTTGCGTTAAATCTTAGGATTTCGAAGGGGATAATAGATCACGGAAGATGTTCCATGTTTTCTTCCGTATGTTTTATTGTATTTTATGGGTAGCTTATTACATGCTTTATATAAACTATACACTTCAACACTAAACTCAACCGTATAATCTATATCCTTTGTGGGACAGCCCAAAAATTGCTTAATCCACTAATAATAAGCTCTGATTGGTATTAGATATGTACAACAAACACAGAGAAGGACAAAAACGCTAGTAAAATACGTACTATCCTTAACGAAAACCCAAGAATTTTAGCACCGGGGTGGTTGGAAGCCAAGAATTTTGCCACCCAACTAGAGACTTTCGAAAGTTATATGTATAGAAAATTCAGTCTCGTTAGAAGCAACTATTGATTGACTAGGTGTTGCTTTAGCATGAAGGACACCAATAATAAAGACATGGCCGCAAAATAGAAGATATACTCATACGTATATTTATAGTTACGTATTTCTTTAGGTTTTCCAAATTGTTATATATATTAACTTTCGTCTATATATATTATATGTCAAACCAAAATTAAACAGATTTTGTCTTTTACCTTAGTAGGCGGTACTGGCGGCTTTGGAAAAAACTTGCATGCCCTAAGTTATTATATCAGACAGATTAGGCCCACAAGAAGGGCCACAGATTGCTACAAGAATGAAGGGTAGTTGTCTAAATACAGCTAGCAAATATATAGTCGCATTTAGAAGACAGTGTAGCTTTTAATAGACTGGAATGTCACCACCGCCTAATCAATTATCGGCGCCAGCGCCACCTACTTTGAATAGATATGCATCACTTAACCCAACCAAGATAACAAAAAACAAGAAAGATCACTTCTAATATGATGTCAACTTAATATATTTCTTTTGACATTTTTCTAGCTATACTATATATGACGACAACATATGCTACGAATTATAATGACACAAGATATATAAATGTAACGCTAACATATTAAGGGGCCGGATAATAATAAATTAAAATTTGATTAATACCTGATCAATGGTTTCGGCAGTTGATTCATCGTAATTTTTTGTTATCTCCAAGCAATATAATACACCTCCATCGGCATTAATAGAGCTGAGTTTAACAGGATTTCGAGGTGAAAAAAATGAAGATCTCCAATTGTTAATGAGGCCTTCGTCTACTATTACAAAACCTTCAACATAGTCGAATCTTTGGGATGCCGGGAGTCCATGCAAAGAGATTAGAAACTCTTGGTCTTTGGTAAATGAGGAGAAATTGGAATACAGTACTCGAATCCACCTCACCTAAATGGACAACAACAATAATAAGAAGGAAACCAAAAAAAAAAAAAAAAAAGGGCAAAAGAGCACCAAAAAGAGAGAAAAAGACCACGTCAGAAAGAGAGGCAAAAGGACACGTCAACAACATTGCCAGCTATGGAACAGCCGTTTGAATGGGTTAAAAAGCTAGCTTTCATGGACCCAAACCCCTTAGAACTCTTTAGACCATGATACCCTTTTGCCTTTTTAGGTTTTGTCATTAACAAATACTAGGAATTTTTTATTGCAAGAGTTTATGTGCCCCACCGTGGAACCAACTCATGAAAGCGCATTTCAAACAAGTAAAAAATTATTACGGCATAAAAGAAAAATAGAGTAAGAGGGATATGGAAAAAAAAAAAAAAAAAAAAAAAACGATATATACCCTTTGAGGAGCTGGTTCAAGAGCAATTCTAGCCCTAGTTATGATTCCAAATTGCCCTAGACCACCGAGAACAGCGTGGAACAGCTCTGAGTTTTTCTCTTCCGAGCACGTCAAGAGCTCACCCTTGCCTGGTTATAGCCATAATATATATAAAACAACAACGTTAACCTATGTTGCGTTCTATTAATGTCAGAAAATCTTACGATATCTATTAACCAAACATAGAGAATTTGAAGCTTAACCTACACCACGTTCAACAATTAATTTATATTAATGTGGGAATGTTCTTCTATTAATTTAATCAGACACAACAAAAGAGGCCATGTGAAGTTATACCACATGAACAGATTAACCAACTCTTTTTCTTGGACGCTTTGCTCATATAGGGTTTAAACAAAGATATCCCTACCGCCGCTTGAATAAACTTTATATTTAAAGATAGTTTTGAAAATATATATTGATCACGAGAAAAAACATGATTTCAAAGCCCAAACAAACAGACACAAATATACGGTATGTCATATATGTTATATGTATATGGATGCCGCAAGTTTAGGTGCTGACACACTGTAGTACTACTACGACCAGATCAAACCAAGCTTTAAAAAAGACTTTACGAACAGATCAGCTCAAAGTACAAAGCCAAAAAAAAAAAAACAGAGAGAGAGAGCCAGAGAACAATATATCTTCGTTTTTCAGGTATTATAAATAAATAAATAAACCATCATAGCTCGATTGGGAAAGAACGTTGTAATGTAATGGAAAGAACTAATTAGGTGATACATATTCAAACAGAAAATATATATTAAAAAAAAACATGCAAGAGAGGAAAAGTGGAGTAAAAAAGAAAAACCTGTAACGACGTCGAGTTCTTGAACGTTTGCGATTTGAGGACCGTGATTGAAAGTTTGGCCGCTGATTCCAGCATTGGAAAGCGTTCCACCGACAGTCAAATACAAATAATCCGTCCACGACTTTGGCGCCAAGCCATGCTCCAACGTCGCCTTCAGCACATCTATCCACAAATCTCCTCCCCACACGTCCACGTACATCTCTCTCTCCGAAACCTGAGGCCGAGCCGCCGCCGCCGCCGCCGAAGTCTGATCAGCCGCAGTCCTTTCTCTTGAGCTGCTCATTTTGATGACCACTCCGTTGGTCGCCTGCGCCTGTCCGTTTATCGAATGCCCGTGTCCCCGCGCCGATACTGTCAGCCCCGGCGCCGAGCCGTAAGCCGCTCGGATGAGCCTCGCGACGTCTTCAGCTGAGGCCGGGTGCAAGACTGCCAGCGGCTTGGCTCTCGTCATCAAGCCGAAGTCCGACGACGCCGTTTCGACGTCAGCCGGGTCGACGCTTAGCTGGCCGTCGACCCCCAGGCGGAGAAGCTCCGTGGGGTCCACCGTCAATCCGACGGTTACAATTAGTCTACAAATAGCGAAGGTCAAGAGAAGCTTATTTGTAGCCATATATATATATATATATATATATATCTATATATAATGAATGTTTATACAGATGTATATAAAAACCTTGTTCTCAAGAAGAGAACCTTTTGTTGGTAAAATTTTTGGTTTTTATAGCGGAAAGAAAGGGGATGAAGGATTAGAAAAGTGCGCACACCGGCGGAGAGAAGAAGTAGGCGGTGGTGGTGGTATTGATCAAATGGGGAATTAGCAGAGAACAAAATCTTGTGGCAGCGGTGTGTGGGTAACGTAAGCCGGATTGCACTTTAAAGATTTTCCACGCAACATGAACAGATTCTCTCCTTCTCTCTCTCTCATCTATATATATATATATATATATAATCTGCCTTTTTTTCTCTCTTGATTTCACGTTACAAAGTGAATATCTGATGATGATCTTTTTTCCACATAATATCGTACATATGTATATGTAGAAGATATAGATGGTGAAGGCAACGAGAAACTAATAACTCAAATTTAAGCGTATACTATAAAGTCTGACTGTTTCTCTCTCTCTCTTTTCGTGTGTGTGTGTGTGTGTCTAGCATATATGATACAAGTCCTCAATTTAAAGGACAAGGAATTGAGAGGGTACTTAAGGAGATGCGCGAGAGGGAAGGATGTGTATGCCAGTGGGGCCTGCTAGACACGTGGCCGTTCACGTGCAGGGCGTGAGGTGACACGTGTGCTGGGAAAGAGATGTACAGTAGGTGGGACCCAGGGAGTGCATTTTTTCGGAAGGGGGGAAGGGTTTTGTGGGACCCACATATGGATACGGAGGATCTGTGTGGGGACGTGAGCGAAAGAAAGTTCACGTGGGTGCTGTGAGACTGCGACGATGTTATAACGCTTATGCATTGCAGCCAATAAAGATTCTCTCTCTCTGCGTTTCTTTTCGTTTCTCTCCTCTCACTTTAAAAAAGCCCAAATATACTCATCAACAGAAGCCGATGCTTAAGCTCGTATTATTAAATTGATACAGTCGTAACCGCTGCCTTATGTTATCTTGCCAATCTCATATAATTATAAATATATCTTTTTATATATGTACGTGTATAAAATCTATTTTCCTTCTCGAAGTCCCAAGACAATCACAGAATCTAAGCCTTAGATTACAAGGGTAGTTATGGTTTGCCATATCCATGATAAACACCAAAAATAATGCTTTGCAACTAATGAAAAAAAAAATCATTGATAATGGACAACTATTGGGTGTTTGGAGATTAGTCAAATTTTGTTCCTTTTTCTTCTTTTTTTTAAAAAAAAAAAAAAAAAAAAAAAAAGAAGAAAATTTTCTTACTAATTTTGCCAATTTTCAAGTGCAAGTGGGTGTTCATTGTTCAATTGGTGCCAACTTTTTGGGTTTATTCGATTTTTATTATCCTTTGAGACTGGTCAATTTTAATCAAGTGGGTGTTCATTGTTCAAGTGGGGGTTTGACGCTCACTTTTTAAGTTACAAATTTATACCTTTTTAAAACTTTTTTAATATTAAAAAAAATCAATTTGTAGGCTGAACAAAACCCTGTTTACGGGTTTATTGGATATAACTGGGTCTCAAAATAGCAAAATATTGTAACAAATACTGATATTCACAATTGGCGGCATGACCTGGAGATGGACTTTCTCTTCAGTCTTGACAATATTTAAAAACTGATTGAAAACTAATGATTTATGTATTGTCTTTTAGAGAGGTCCCAATGATCTAATGATTCTTCTTAACAAATGCTCTTGTCTAACTCACCGGGCCTAATCGGCCAGAATGAAAATGATTGACTAATCAATTAATTATAGTGCATGCTTTTCAAGTTTTCATAAAACATTTATGTTGGACCACCTAATAATAATAGTTTGTGCACTACCAGTGTGGAATGTGGATGCCACTGATCCTTGCAAGTTTCCAAATTAAATAGTAATTTGAGGAATATAAGCATAATGCATTCTATTTTGGAATGGTCCACGTTGGTAATCAATTGTCACAGTTTTGCGGTTCGACATCATGTTATCAACTTAACTAATTAATTTCTAGATTTTTTCTTAACCAAAAACACAAAAAAAAAAAAAAAAAAAAAAAACCATCCTAACCCACTTCCTGAAATTGCAGTCTAGTCCGCAATACGAAAATTTGAAATACGATTGCGTGCCACGTTTTAAATAGCACATACACGAGAATTTTTAAAGAAACTGTCGTCATATTTTAAGCGTATAATCCACTATTTATAATAGTGAATTCACCTTATATATATAGTTAATGAGTACTGTCAAGATGTGAATTGATTCAGAAGATGGTAATTTATCATATAACATTAAAGAACTTAGTTAATCCATTGCACAAAAATAAATTTAACTAATCAGCTAGGAACGAGAAGATGTGTACTTTTTTTTTTTTTTGGTTGCTTAAATTGTCTTGAAGCTTGGTCATATGAACAATTGAACTTCTATTCTCTGTTACATAACCAGCTAGCTAGAACATCAATATTGAAGCTCCACTGGCCAGGGCTTAAAGTACTGTTTACCCATTATTGATAGTCAAATCAATCAAATCGTTAGAACGAGCAGTACAATGTTTGTCTCAAATCGTCTTATAAATCAATCTTTTACGACTATAAATCAATCTTTGTTTTGTCCAAAAAGATGACAAATTAGATTTTTCGATTCCCCGTTTACTTTTCTATGTGTCGTCTATAAGCAACGGAACTAGGAAAATCAACGCCATTACAGAATCAGCAAATTCTTTGTCTAGGGCATGCACGAACATTTCACAGTGCGTGATGTTCTTCGACTGTACTGGCGATATATCACAAACATGGATGGTCTCCAAGAAAAACCAAATTGTACGTGCTAATTATATTACACTTCATTGCAAAGTGTTTAGTCTAGATACAATGCCTATAATATATTGTCTTCAACGAAAGAATTCATATGCGTCATGTTGGAGTAGGACCCTCTTTAAAGTCATCACAAGCCTACCCCACTCATCTGATTTGATCAGTACTACGTTATTTATTTCTTCGTGGCATGACTTGCATATGTCTAATTAGTTATACTCATGATTAAGTACTAGCGCTAATTAAGGATTATAACTTAAAGGGGCATATCATATATATATATATATATATATATATATATATGTTAATTAGTGTGGTTGGAATTCTTCTTCAAAGTACTAGATACATATAGAAGAAAGATTAGTGAGCATCATTATTGATTTAACCTACATTGCAAATTAAGGTGTACTACATACATCATCTCATGTAATGTTTTATGTATCCATCGGGAGATTGAAGTTACAAGTGAATTTGTCCTTTACTTAAAGGACCATATAGAAAAGTATGTCCAAATCCTTTTAATAATAATATCATACATGGGATTCAAAAAATTAATGTACGTAAGAGAAAATTTTGGGATTTGGATTGGGGGGCATGTATGCTTCTATATATATATATATATATATATATATAATGTAACCATATACTCACTTATATATATTATTCACTTGGATCTAGCTATCCATAGTAGCCAATTGTATGTAAGTACGTACCCCTTGGTTTGTATTTTAATACACATGACAATCTGACACAAAAAAACCATATAGAGATTTGAAGTGCTCGATAAAGATCTTTTTTCTTTAAGAGCCAAAAGGAGAAGTGGGTACTGGGTTGCATTCTCGAATCAAGTACTTTATTTCTTCCTTTTTTTTTCACTTTCCTTCTTTTTTTAGATTTTCTTGAACGATCCTTTTTTAGATATTCTTGAACGATGTATGTCAAGAAAAGAAAAGAAAAATCTTCAATGGTGTACAGACAATATTCAATTTGTGAAATATTTCCCTCTCATTCTGTGATCTTATCCTCATCAATACAAAAAAAAAAAAAAGTCATATATTTTAAATAATAGAAATGAATTAAATAATAAAATCAAGATTCGCCCAATTTATTTTAAGTTGGTTTGGAACTTTTGGGGGTTGTTCTTTTGTATTTTTGAGTTAAAAGTGACTTGAGTGATGATTTTGAGTTGAGTTTGAGTTATAACTTGAGTTGAAGTTGCAACTTGAGTTTGTGTTTGAATGTGCATATTTGAGTTATGATTTGAATTGAGAATCTTTTTGAGTTTGTGTTTGAGTGAGTCAAAACTTAACTTTGTATTTAGATAGTATTTTAATTAAAACTCAATAGTGATGAAAAATTTTAATAGGGTATATGGGTGGGGTTTTATTCGTCTTTTCGTTGTGAATGCATAGAAAAAAAATCATCTCAATTAGAATTAAAACGAAAAAGTTATGACATTTTTAAGAATAGAAAAAACATTGTTCATTAACTTGAGTTCGAGTTTATGAACTCGAGTTGAAAGGAAAACTTGAACTCGAGTTTAGCCATAAACTCGAGTTTAAACTCGAATTCAAACTCGAGTTCAAACTTAAATTTTACAAAAGAACATGAACTTGAATAAAGTTATAACTAGCTCGAGTTCAAATTTTTTTTGAGTTTTGTTGCAAAAGAACAGCCCCTTGGTAACCACATTAACGTTTACTTTTATTTGTTCTATTTTTTTAAATCATTTTGGTACTTGTGTTTTTAGTAATTTTAAATTGATACCTTAACGTTTTAAAAAAATATTTTTAGTACCTTGAGATCATTTTTTAGAATGTAAAATGTTAAATTTACATTTCTCATTACTTTACCAAAAACTAATAAATTTAGAAAAATTCTAAAAAAAAAATTATTTTTAATTTAAAGCAATATTTTTATTTTTTATTTTAAATTTTTAAATGTTCAAAAAAATTTAAAGAATCTTTCTAAATTTATTATTAGTTTTTTGGTTAATGAGAAGTGTAACTTTGATATTTTACATTCCAAAAAATGACCTGAAGATACTAAAAAATAATTTTTTAAAACATTAAGGTACCGATTTAAAATTATTAAAAATACATAGTACTGAAAGACAAATTATACTAAAATATAGGGTACTAATATGAAAGTTTCCATTTTTTTCCGGCTAAAAGAG